TCCAAGGCAAGCACTCAAAAACGATTTTTTATTTGTTAAAGTTAGGCCTGAAACGGACTTATTCTGCTCCACATCAAACAGGGATCGTTGTGTATTTACAAGCTTTTTCACTCTCATCCATTACTATAATTTATTTTTTTACTATTTAGGGAGCATTATAAATAATTATATTTTTAAAAGAAAAAAAAAACTACTATTGTTATAAATAACACATTCAACACATTGAGCTAAACTATGCATGCCTATTTAAATATATTTACACATGGCTTGTGTATATCGTATATATACATATATATTATTTATACCTTCGGTGTATAGGACGCAAGCAAATTTTGAGATCAAATTTTTGGGGTAAAAAAATACGTCTTATACACCGAAAAATACGATATACATATATATTATTCATACCTTTGGTGTATAGGACGCAAGCAGATTTTGACATCAAATTTTGGATAAAAAAGTGTGTCTTATACACCGAAAAATACGGTCAAATCATTACGAAAAGCAAAAATTTGTAAATGACGTATCCGAGCGTAACGTACCTTATCGAGTCCACATATTTTGAATTTGTCATCAACATAATCGTATTTATGGTTGAAAACTCCCAAGAGTGCGTTCTTTTAAATGGACAAATTATATAATGTTCACATGAAAAGGAACAGTTTGACTGAATTTACACATCACAATCATATGACTGATTTTTCGCACCACGGATCTTTCCAAATCTGAAAGCAGTTACAGCGATAGCTCCAAATACTAATTTAGACAGATTAAACCACGATAAATTTTGTTACAAATTTCCGGTAAATTGTTTATTTATTTTTACAACGTTGTTAATTTATTACCCACAGGTTTTAGCTAGTTCTCGAAATACTCACAGTTTTTAGCTAGTTATCGAAGTAGACATACACTCGAAGTTTAAAACGTCACTACACGTCATTATTAAGAAAAAACGTGCCGAATGGAAAGCTACACGTTAAATTATTTTGATATTATGTTTGTTTGCTTTTGTTGGTTAGCTGGTAAGCCACAAAGGCTATCGAAACCCAATTTTTAGCGTTAAAAGTCCTCCTTACTTACCGTTGAACCACTGTGAGCTTCGCAATATGATATAATTGACTAATAATAAATACTTCACAACAACCTGGGCCGTGTGCGATGCAGTGGTTAGTGCCGGACTGTGGATCTGAGGTTCCTAGCTTCGCATCCCGTTACCGCCAAAAAAAAAAAAAAAAAGCAGTAGCACTTTACACAGCGTTTGTGTTGTAGGTGTGACCATCAAATCCCTCTATTTGGTATGAAAAGAATACCTCAAGAGTTGGCGGTAGATGGCGTTGACTAGGTGCCTTTCCCCTACTCTATCACGATAGTTTTGTACGAAATTCAGCAAAGAAGCTAACAACTGAAAACTCACAAACAACCACACCCATAAAAGTTAGTTTGTTTCTTTTTTGAATTTCGCGCAAAGCTACACGAGGGCTATCTGCGCTAGCCGTCCCTAATTTAGCAGTGTAAGACTAGAGGGAAGGCAGCTAGTCATCACCACCCACCGCCAACTACTGGGATTGACCGTCACATTATAACGCCCCCACGGCTGAGAGGGCGAGCATGTTTGGTGGGATGGGGATTCGAACCCGCGACCCTCAGATTGCGAGTCGAGCGCCTTAACCACCTGGCCATGCCGGGTCCCCCCCATAAAAGTAAGACATAATTTGCCTGTACAAGGAATAGTTGATTGAGTCACCAATTATTTTATTTAAAAACAAGTCATATAAATAATGTCTATCCTGGCGCTGTTTAATAATGTTTTTGAATTAGTTGGCTCCGTCTTCTACTATCAGTGTAGCATTTTGTTTTGTTCATATAATACAGAGAAACATATTGTTACATCTCCGTTTGTTAATTGATTTTTCCGTAACTTCGTTCCGACGAAACTTTAACGAT